AGGATCTTTGAGACTTACAGAGGCTTATGAACTCAGAAGTGCCACTAGAAGGAGCTTATCTCGTCCAAATGAACCTCCAAAAGAGCTTATTCTTCTTCTTATTATTATTATTATTATTATTATTATTATTATTATTATTATTATTATTATTATTATTATTATTCTTCAAGGAAATCAACCACTATAGCACACCAATACCACCAACAATGGCTCAAGGGCTCAAGAAAGTCTAATCTCGGGTTTTTTAGTGACTTGGGAGTGAAAGAGGCTGAGGAGAAACAACCCTAATCATCCCGCACCTTTAAATACCCGAAAATTAGGGTTTTGGTGCCTCAGGTGCGTCAAGAGTCGTGAGCACTTCATGCTCACGTCGTGAGCCTTAAATGAGCTTGGTCAACAAGTCAACGATCACTCGCCCGAACCACTCCAACTTTAAAACGGCCATAACTTCTTCGTTTCAACTATGTTTTTGATGTTCTTTATATCCACGGAAAGGTGGCGAGAAGCTCTACACATCTATCAACTTTTCCTTACCTCAAAACCTTCCGAACGAAAATCCAAAATTCATAAAGAGCTCGAAATGCCACTTTACCGATTTACCCCTTGGCTCCAAGACACAACCCAAACTCCCATATCACTTCAATTATATTATTTGTACCTAAATGGGTCTAGAACTCTCTTTTCCAAAGGCCCTAAGCCTTATGATAACCTATCTCCAGGCCACAATCCCGAATTAGGAAAGCGATTCGGAACAGGGCGTTACAGAACTTGTGGTGTTACCCAAGACTTTTGTCAAGGTTTATAACCTAAACAGGTTATCCTAATAAGGGAATTCCCACGTATGATCTTATGATTAAGGATCCTCATCCTTAAGGATCCTCATCATTAAGGATCCTCATCGGTAAGGATCCTCATCAGTAAGAATCTTATCATCAGAAGTCAACAACGATCCTAAGTTATTTCCTAAGTTGAGATTTATCCTCAGTAAATTCTAAGATTAAAGAACTTATGAAGCTTAATGAAAAACTCGAAGACAATCAGGTTCCATCTTTCCTTGTTCTTAACTTTGAAATTTTTTAAGTAAAATTAAGGATCTTAAAGTTTTTAGGATCCTAAACCAATTGCTGATTTATAAACTTTCATCACTACATAGTCATTTACTATTTTGAATTGATATCTTTAAAGAAGTTTTAAAGCACTTAGATTTACAAAAATTAGTTGTTAACAAATTATTTTATACTTGTTTTATTATAAAAAAACATATGTTCAGATCCTAAAGTAAAATTCTAAGGTTTATAACATTATCATGTTAGGAGCTTCCCTAGTATTATTTAAGTTGGGATTTTCCCCAGTATATCTCCTGTTGGGATTCTCCCCAGTACATCTGAAGTTGGGATCTTCCCCAGTTATTATCTTAAATTGGGATCTTCCCCAGTATTACTGAAGTTGGATTTTCCCCAGCATACCTTCAGTTGGGATCTTCCCCGGTACGTCTAAAGTTGGGATTTTCCCCAGTTATTATCTAAAGTTGGGATAATCCCCGGTAATTCTTAAGTTGGGATTCTCCCCAGTATAACTATACATTGTGACCTTCCCCAGTGAATTCCTATGTGGAATCTTTCCCAATATTACCTAAGTTGGGATTTTCCCCAGCGACAGTTAAGTATTAATTTTCCCTAGTAATTTGCTAAAGTTTATAACACTGACGCGTTATCTCATGTTGGGATTTTCCCCATAAAATATCAAATGTTTATAACATTCTCATGTTATCATACAGTTTGGATTTTTCCCAATATTTTACTAAGATTGGGTCACTCCCCTGAATATATGCAAGACTTGTAGCATTGCCATGTTACAAACAATAGTAGTTTTCTCAGTTGAATTTACCTCCAAATGATTTCTAAGACGGAATCCTCCCCAGTTCACTAAGTAGAAGCTAAACAAGGATCTTCCATGATGAAATCCCAAAACAAGAATCCTCCTGATATAAGCTTCAAGATCACGTGGAGCTAAAAGACTTACAATACAAAACTTCTGCTAAGTCAAAAGTCTTCAGAAGGTCAAAGTTAAACCTAAGGGTCATCAGGTTCTATCTATCCTTATTTCCTAAAGTTTATCCTTATAAAAAGATAATCAAAAGCTCATCCTTTTTAACTAAGGATCCTAACGGTTTCAAAGTCCTTGGCAGATGATTAACTATCCTAGATTATTAGGATCCCAAGAATTTTTGTAAAACCTGAACTCTTTAGGATCCTAATTGTCTAAGGATCCTCAAGAAAACCTATTTTGATTCTGTAACCAAATCAATCATGCAAGAAAAGAGATAGACCAAAGCATCAGTATTAAAAAGGGTTACCTTCCAACCCAACAAAAAAGAAAATATTGTTTACAGAACAAAATTTTAAAATTGTTTTTAAATTTATCAAACTTAATTCAAGGTTTTATCACCCCCAACTGGGATATACTCTATCTCTTTCTTCTCTTCTATACAGGATCATGACCAACATTTACAAGCTCACCAGTCAACTTAGCAAGGGTTTCATGCCAATCATTCTAGGATCATGCATTCTCCACATCCTTTGCCAGCTTGATCTTTACCTCTCAGTTGACCTCAACAACACTGCTATTAACCTCAGGAATCAACTCCTCGATCTCCAGCGCATGCTCCACCCGATCAAGCTTAACCTTTAGATCTTCGGTGGATCAAGAAACATGATCAAACAACCTGTAAAAGATCACGATTGCCAGAAAGAGAGCAGCTTCCTCAGCGCCTCGTCCACCCCAAGGCTCTCAGCAGACTTCCTCTTTTGGGATCCTGGAGTATTGACGGTCACATTTATCGAGGTTCTCTCCGGAGGAAGAGAAGATGATTTCTTCTCCTTCTTCACCACAAGTTGGCCACCAGACATGGCAGAGTCGATATCAACAAGGGTGAACCAAGCACTAGAGTGTATAGCCTTGGATCCTAAACATAACAAAGGAACTCAATAAGTTCAAGATCCTTCATGAAAAATAAAAAAATAGACAAATAAAGGAACTTTACCTTTCGACGTGGTGGCAATAGCAGATTTACCTTTCAAACCTAACGGATCTTTCAGTCTCAGGCAAAGCAAGGAAACTCCTAATCTTCTCCTTGGTATCTTCAGCAGCAGGGACAGGATCCTCCAACTTGAAAGCTACATCAAAACAAATAAAACAAGGAAGTGTGAATTTTACATCATCAACGAAATAAAATAAAATCCTACCTTTTCTAACCCGATTTCTTGGCAGGAGATCACCGACGAGATGGATTCACGTTTCATAAAGAACTATTTCTCTTTCAAAGAACCTTCATTTTGTTTTGATTTCAAAATAAGATGTTATGTATTTTTTTTTACTCTGAGCAGGAAAGGACAAGACCCAAAAGTTTGGAAATCACAAACATGGGCCAACTTAGCTAAATCCCATGTCTAGATCCTTAGATTGATTCAATCGATCAACCTAAAGTAGGATCCTCCAGATCATGAGCATAGTTTGGATGGGACCAACCTAAGTAAGAGAGACGAAGTCAGGTTGGGTCTTAGCATCAAAAGGCTTGAAAATAACATCAGAAGGAAAAGTTCTGATTGACTTCAAGGACTCAATGTCGTCATCACCAAAAGAACAGGTCTCTTCATAAGACAGGATCCTCTATTCGATGAAGTCCTGGTCGAAAAATCAAGGATGCTCGTGCGAGAATGGAGTGTCTCTTTACCCATAATCAACAAACAAGAAAAATAAGAATAAAGGAGAAAGAAATTTAACTTCAAAACAATGAGAGAAAAGTGATTTGACAACATAATCATATCTTTTGAACGGATACAATTCTATCCGTTAGAGTTTGAATTTCGAACCCTTTATTTCCAATTAATTAAATTATACACTTTAAATACCTGAAATCAATTTAAATATTTTGCAGGTATAATTTGGGGGCATTTGTTGGGCCAGGATCCTCACAATTTTTAGGATCCTCAAAAATCCAGGATCCTCAGCTACCTCAGGATCTCGGCTATTACCGTTATTATTTTTATTAATGTTTATAACAGTTATATTTTGTTCATAACTAACACGTGTGCAGAAATAGTCAAGGGAAGACCAATTCTCAATGAAGAATCAGTCCAATCAGGCTTAAGACCCGGAAATACCAAGTCAAAGCACGTTTTAAATACCAGTTCACCAGGATCCCGTAAATATCATACATTTAGTTACTTAATCTAGACTATAAATACACCTGTAAAACACACACAACGGGGACAATTATCTGACACCTTACTCATCTAGACTCACTTTATCATTTGTAATCATATTATCAAGCTCATCTCTGTAATTTATGTTCAAATCAATAAGATCATACAAGGCAGGTGATCATTATCACCTCCCAAGGTTTTATGTCGGATATCCTAGCAAGGACCAAGGGCTTTCCTTGTAAACCACTTATGCAATTTTGTTCTAATTTCGTTAATCACTTCACCCTACAACACCACAGCCTCTCATGCAATTTGGTTAATATCCACTTTGTCGATTTTTGACCAAAACAGTTGCCACACTTGCCATGCTACTTTTTTTAATATACAAAATAAATATTTCAAACATGGCATTTTTTAAAAAACTAGAAATTCATTGGAGTTAAAATAAAAACATAGAAATTCAAAAATACAACAAACATACCAAACACACCAAAAAAAATTGAATTTAAAATAAAAACATAGAAACTAAAATTACCAAACCCATATAGACCTAAATGACATTTTCATCGAAAAATTGACCTTCTAAATCGTAGACCGGTTCCGCGTTAAGATCAACGTGGTCGACGTTCCAAATATGTTCTGTTAAGTCCCTACGAAAAACATGACGCGTCTCAACATCAAGAACTATTTCCCTCCTTGACATTTACTCCGCGCTTCCAACCTCAAAAGCTTGTGTCGGTGGAACGATCTCGTTTTTGTTATACTCACATATTGCATTTCATTCGTCTTCGAGAATCATATATGCAATATGATACAAGTATACATCACCTCGCTCATTTTCTTCTCCTCCTCCATATAAGGCGCAAGATATTTAAGAATATGCCAATGTTTTTTCAAAGCTCCAAATGCTCGTTCAACATCCTTTCTCGCCTTCTCTTGAGCTCTCTTAAACTTCAACCTTTTGCAATCATTTGGAAAAGATAATGACTTCACAAAACAAGCACGCTCCGAATAGAACCCATCCACAAGATAATACCCGTTCCTATACGATGTTCCAACTACTTGAAAGGATGAGTCGGGCACAGTTCCGTTATACATGTCGTCAAGTAACAGAGACATGTTAAGAACATTAATGTCATTGAGAGAGCTAGCTGACCTAAAGAATGCATGCCATATCCACATATCATGTGAGGCCACCATTTCAAGTATAACGGTTGGATAACCATGATCACTTCAGGTGTATTGCCCTTTATAGGCATTCGGGTAACAACCCCATGCCCAGTGGAGGCAATCTAAGCTTCCTAACATTCCAGGAAAGTCGAGCACATTTGAGTGATGAGCATATAATTGTAGGATGTCACTACAAGTAGGTTTGTGCATATATCGTGGACCATATAATCTCATGACATACTTGCAAAATTTGTGAAGGCTAGTTCATGCAGTACGTCCGGACATCCTAAGGTTCTCCTCTAGTGCATCGGGGAAAGTGACATACACTAATTGACGAAGTGCAGCAGTGCATTTTTGTATAGAAGTAAAACCAACTGTACCTCTAGCATCTCGACGTTGTTGAAAAAATGGACACGCTGCCATGATGTTGTTGACGATACGCAAAAACAAAGATTTATGCATACGGAACCGGCGTTAAAAATAATATCCTATAAACGTGGCGTCATCCACAAAGTAATCTTGCATGAGTCGTTCATTAGCCGCCTCACGAAATCTTTGTATGTACCTTCTCTTCCTCCGACGTGCATTCTCCGCATTTTCTTGTTGTAGTTGCTTGATCATCTGTTTCGCCTCCCGAATAACCTCTATGGTCGTTTCAAGCAAGGCATCAAACATGACCGATGAAGATGGCAAAAACGATATTTTGAGAGAGTGGATATGAGTTGTAAATTGATTTTGATGAGTTAAAATAGTTAAGGGTTGTAGTATTTATAGGAGGGTTTAAAAAAAAACAAAAATAAATAAATAAATAAACGGAAGTAGCCGTTGCAGCCACCCCATTGGTCCACTCAACATAGCTAAACTCAACATTTACTCACCGAGATACCGAGCCGGGGTCGGCCCGGTGTGCGCCGAACTCGCTGAGCTCTTTGCCGAGCCCATACCGTCTAGCCTTAAAGCTAATTCAAAACTTGCGTTCATCTTCATTGATTTGGGGTTTGTATGAATCATCATCACCCTTCAATTTGTAAAAGAGATGAAGGCGAAGGTTGTGTAATGGGGAGTAGGGGTGAGCAAAAACCGCATCGCAACTAAAATTAACCGAATAAACCGCAACCGATAAACCGCAATAAAAACCGATGGTGAGGTTTTCTGTTTTTTAAAAACCGCAAATTTGCAGTGCGGTGCAATTATTAGTTTTTAAAAACCGCAAAAAACCGCACCTTACCACATATATTATATAATTTTTTATATTAATTATTAATATATTAAATATTAAAAATAAGATAAGATTTATTTATTAATACATATTAAATATTAATATATTAATTATTAATAATTATTAATATATTATATAATTTATTTATTGTTAATTACTAGTGATTTGATGTTTTTAAGATACTAGTCTTTTGTGATTTAAATTAATTGTCTTATACCTTATGATTTTTTATTATTACAAATAGTATGTTTGAACTCTTAAAATCGTTTGAACTTTAAACTGCGGTTAAAAACCTCAAAAAATAACCGTACCAAATCGATGCGATTAATAACCGAAACACAAAAAAACAAAATCGCACCAAACAGTTCTGAAAATAGATTAACCACATTTGCGGTTAGTGGTGAGCTTTTGGCCAATAACCGTACCGAACCGCACCGCGCTCACCCGTAACGGGAGGTGTAAACCCATGTTGAAGTACATTACTTTATTTCATATCAATGTCCTGAATGTAGAAAAATCTTATATCTTATATATGTATATATTTTTACACAAAACTAAATCACGATTAGATACAATACAAATACAACTATTTTTATTCAAATATAATATAATTATCAATATTTTTACAACGAAATTACAAAAAGGAATGACTTGATCACAACGTCCACGTGTCAACTCTAAACGATCGAAGGGCTCCGTAACAAATTCTTGTTCCCATCAGTTGTGGGGTAGCTCATCAAACGAGATCACAGCCGTTGAAACAAAAATCGACGGTTGACAGCCTGCCCCAACAATAATCCGGGCAGATTCTTTGCCCTATAAAATTGACACCATACCAACCACACATTCTCACTCGCCCCTTTCTAGCGTGAGGAAGAAGAGGGCCCCTTCAAATCCAAAACCCTCGCCTCTTCCCGTCACCCTCACCGGTTAATTCTCTCCGGCGACTACTCCTCCGTTCTCCGCCTCATGGCTTCGCGCCATTTTTTTGCAGGAGATTAGTTGCCAGAATGTAGAAATGTCGTTCTGATTCGACGAGCTCCCTTTTTTCTTTCCATTTTCGTCGTCATTGTGGTTTCTATGGCGTCTGCGATTTTATCAAGCAGAAATGAACGAAACTCGGGTGATTTTATGAGTAAATTTACTGACAATAGTCATCTAGCTTTCTCCAGATTACAGAATATCACTTGCCCTAGTCCTCACTCTAACCCTAACCCTAATTCTAGCCGTTTCTTTAGCAGAAATGTCCATTGGAAAAATCAGGAGCAAATGCGGTCTTCTGGTCCGTCTGGAGCGGTGTTTATCGGTTCGTCGACCAATTCCGTACCGGCGTACTCTCATGGATACAGGTACATTACCTATCGTCTTGGTTCGTACACTAGATTAGAGCTTAAAGAGTTGAAGAAAAAGTTAGTTCTGGATCTGGAACGGGTGAGGAACCTCAAACATTGGATCTGTTCGACGCCGATACCCAAAAGGCATTATCAACCACCGCCGCTGGGGTTACCGCCCGCTCCGGAAGTTGATTTGACGGTGAAAGAACGGCCAAAGAATGCAGTCGGTCAGAAACGTGCGAAACCGTCTTCTTCAGCCAGGGATACGAAGAAGCATTGTGGTGCTCGTGTGAAGAACAATACGCAGAGGAGTAAGCTCGTGATGAAGAAATGTGGGCAAATTTTAGCTAAGCTGATGAAGCACAAGCACGGGTGGGTTTTCAACACTCCAGTTGACGCGGCTGCTTTGAAGCTAAGTGATTATCATAAAATCATCAACAAACCGATGGATCTTGGAACTATCAAGTCGAAGCTTACTAAAAACGAATACGAATCTCCTCTCGCATTTGCTACCGACGTCAGATTAACCTTCCAAAATGCCATGCTCTACAATGGCAAGGGCTCCGAAGTTTTCGCAATGGCAGAGCTTCTTCTTTCGCTGTTTGACGAAATGTTCGATCCAAATCATCATTCAACGAAGCAAAACCGTTCTACCAAACTACCCATGGAACAAAAACCAATTTCAAAACCATCTCTTCCAATTGAAAAAGAGAAACCAGTATCCAATGTGAGAAAATCAAACCCTGTACCTCCTCAACTCGCACTACATCCAGGTAATACATCGATTGATAACATCAGAAAGCAAAAGAAGCCGGAGATGACAGAACAGGAGAAATCAGAGCTAGCAGCAGAGTTAAACAATCTACAACTGGATCCTGAAGGCATGGATCAGTTAATGGCAATCGTTAAGAAAAGGGGTTCCAAATTAGAACAAGATGGAAGTGAAATCGAGCTTGATTTTGGTTTGCTTGATGATGACACGCTATGGGAGCTGCATAAGTTCGTTGGTATCTCCTGTAAGGAGACAATCACTAACATGGGTTCTTCTGTACAGATTAACAATGTAAGTATTCCATCATCTGTCATTTAATTTACTCGATACTTCTTCTCTTAAACCTCTCTGATGAACATTGGATATCAGTCTCCAGATATAGAAGAGGAGATTGATATAGGAGAAGAGATCCCATTAACCAATTTCCCATTTCTTGAAATCGAAAAAGATGGTTTAACAGTTAGTAGTAGCAGCAATTCAAGCAGTGATTCGTCATCTAGTGGTATGAAATATGATCATATGAAAAAACTTTTGAATTGTTGATCATGAATTGATGATTTGAAATGTGATTGCAGATTCAGATGGTTGTTCCGGTTAAAGTGGAAATGAAGATTTTTGGGGGTTTTGAAAAGTGAAAGGAGAGAAATTCTAACTGTTTTTTTGGAGGTGTAGAGAAGGTTATATGTAAAGGAATTAACATGATATGATATTTTGATATGATATGAAGAAAGAAGTTTTAGTTAGAAGAAGTTGAAGTAGTAGTAATAGGAGGAATGTAATTGAGATGGGGGATGAATGGATGTGTAAATACTGAAAAGTATGTTCTAAAAAGTAAATGAGAATGAGAACGTTTTATGGATGGATGGATGTTTCTAACTTGAAATGAATGAATGAATGTATGAGGAATCAATAAAATTTGATAATTGAGACTAAGGAGATTTTGAAAATGGAGTTTCTTCGTTCAAAAATGGCAATGATTAGTTGATCATACATGTGTAATCCATAAACTTAATAAATGAAAAAAAACAAGCAAATTGATTAACAAGTGGTGGCCATAATTGTTATTATTATTAGTATTTTTTTTACATTTGTTTCATCTATAAATGTGGCTAAAATGGTTTCAAAAAGGGCATTCATTCTTCCACGACTTATTTTTATTCGTCCACATAATTTTATTGTTAATTGACAAAATTGCCCCTGATGACTTCATCTAAAAACTTTGTAAGCGTGATGCCCTTGTATCTGCAACTCAAAGATCCAAAACCCTACCTAGGTTAAAAGATCATTGCTGACGGTGATCTTACAACTTGAAGAGGATGAAGAACATCTAAAACTCTCACGACCAAAGATTAAGATGAAGGTTTGTAGGAAAGGTATATGAGCAACATTGGCTCTCTTTTCCCCTTTGCGACCCAAAAGACCACCCATATCTCATCGTTATTCATCCTTGTTCCATTGAAAAAGGCGATGACGATGAAGACGATGATGAAGATCGTCGACGATGCACACAAACAAACCCGGGAGAGCCCCTTCGCCGGAGATTTCGCCTTCAACCCTTGTGTTTTATCTATTTTGTGTTTTTGTTGTAGTGGTGGTGTTCAGAGATTTCGTCGGAGGTGATTAACATAGATTTCTAGATATTTCTAATGGTGGTGTTGGTCTGAGATTTTCACCAAACAACCTTGTACTCCATAAACCGATAAAC